GCAGAAGGAAGGGAGGGGGCGCCGCCGCCGCAAAGGGCCCCGGACGGGCGGTGGGGGTGGGGAAGGGTGCGGAGGGCGGCGGGAAGGGTCCCGCCGGCGGGGGGAAGGCCCGGAACGGCGGCGGCGGCGGGGGGAAGCGGCCGGGGAAAGGCGGCGGCTGCGCCATGTTGGCGCCTCGGCCCAGCGCCGCCCGCCCGCAGCGCCCCCTGGCGGCCCGGAGGCCCCGCTCGCCCCCTCAGGGCGGCACAGCGCCTTCAGCCTTCACACAGAAAGAAAAAGCAAAAAGCCTCAAAAGCTCCAACTACCCATAAAATATCAAATTTCGTCAGGGATGACAACTCTCCGCTGCTTGAATATTCGCTTTGTTTTATTCAAACGCCAGAGGTGAAGTACAAACTGTAGTTACACAGCGGTTTTTTTTTTTGTTTCCTTAAAAACAGTTCTCGGTTACACAATTCCAAACAACTTTCAAAACTAAGTTGTTGAACAGTTTTGCCTAAAACGTTGGGTTTGGTTTTTTTTTTTTCAATCTATTTAAAAAAAGGATTTGAATTAAAGGATTCAGAATTAAAAGCGGTTATATTTCTTTCACTCTACAAAAAGGAAAGCGAGGATGCAGTTACAGATAGTTCTCCAGAGATTCCCGTTTTGAGGGGAACTAAGATTCTCCTAGAAATACCCTCAGCTCCAAAGGCAGCTTTTTCTGAACCATTAGTGGGCCATTTAGCCTGAAAAAACCCGAAATCCAAAGGGAAATATCTGATGCATCTGGCTACCACCGCATATCAGGCTGCTTCTAGGTAAGAACACAAGTATTACATAAAATTTACATGACAAAAATTAACAGTAAAAATAGCGTTCAGCACGCATCTGCAGTAGCCTTTCCTCTCCTAAAACATCCACTAGACTGAAAAGAACGATGAATGGTATAATTAAATAGCTTGAATCAAAGTTTTAGAGAAAGGGGTCAGTAAAACTTACGTCCACGTATCACTGAAGGACAAAACAAAGTTGTAAGCAACAATTTTAATTCCTGAAACAAATCAAAAACATACAGGTCCTTTAGTGTTTTTACAAAGACTTTCCTAAAGGATTGAATTAATTTTGGTGTAGAACAGAAAGAGGGAGGGTTGCTTTGCTTGCGAGACTAAAAATCAAAGACAAAAACCACAAGATGCAATACTAGCATTTGAGCATATAACTTAAAAAGCACTGAGTTGTGTGAACAATCACTACCGATTACATCAAAAAATATTATACATTTACTTCTTTCATCTCTTAACATTATAAGATAGGCTGGGCAAATACCTGGCACCAAAAAATTGATGCATGATAGTTCCAATACGTTAAACAAAATGTACTATATTAGAACATTAATATTTAAAAATTTATGTCGACTTCTCATCCGAATTCAGATGGCTTACCGCTTCCTAGAAATCCTGTTTACCCTTCTGGAAAAATTAGCAAATTACCGACTTCACCTTCTTTCACAGTATTTGAGGTGACTGAAACTTACTCCTAATGGAGAGGTGAAGGAAAGGGTATTAATTTGATATTGCATTCAGATTACCGTAACAAACTAGTGTCACATTTTAGCGGAATCTCCCAGCAGTGTCATCAAGTGTGTCCCAGTTTTTTTCCAAACCCCTGCTGCAAGGGCTTCCTCCTCCTCCTCCCCCTCCCAGTGTAACAGGTCACTCCAGCACCCAGCGGGTTTCAAACACCAGCAGAAATCTAACACTGACCTGAACGCAACCCCCCCGTGAGTCGTATGAGGAGCTAATAAGTTTATTCACCCTCTACTAATTATTAAGCTTGATTTCCCATTTGTAGAGTAACATTATCGTAAAATCTAACTATTGGCAGCACCTGCATTGCTGGTTTAGTTTCCAGAAAGAGCAATCCAGGTGCTGCTGTATTAGCTATACATTTTAATTGAACAAGTGTAATATACAATTCATATTTGAACATTATGCCATCCAAGTCCACACAATGTCCATCCGATAAATCAACGGGACGTTGCAATAAAATACACGATCTGATTTAGCTAATAAAGTTCCTCATCACGTATCATATCCGAGACAGATCCAATGCCTTTAGTATCAGACTGAAGCCAGAGGCAATCGTAAGGAAATAACCACGTGTGCGTTATGCGGGGCGAGCATTCTGACAGTATTTAATGGTTTGCAGCATCTGCTTGTCGAGGCCAACCTTCCTCCTCAACGCCAGAGTCGTATTCTTCCTCAGCTGAATCTTTAGTGGGAGCCCTATAATTAAAATGAACTGATCAGATACTTTAGAAATGGAGGAAAAGCAGGGAGACAGTTGCCATAGCTTCTGGTAAACATGCCACCTGCAAAGTGCCCCAAGGACAAGTATACGGTCCCATTACTGAAAATCAAAAGGCTATTGAATACAGTGAAGTCATGTGATTTAATCTGAAAATTTTAGATTTCCAGCAAACATGAACGCTGGTGCTCTACAAAATCACTGAGAACAACCTTCACTGTAAGAGTAATGCTCTTCCACTCCCTGTGAGACACGAGGTGTGCTGAGCCAAGCTTCAGCACTGGCACAAGATGAACACAAAGCATTCACCTCGTGCCAGCTTTCTCAGCGCAGAAAGTTTCTCAAAAAAGCTGTCAGAGGTGGAAACCAAGCCAGAGGTCCTAAATTTCAGGCCTGTCTTTTTAACCTGACCCATCCCCTCTCAACTCCATCCTTTGTTCACTAAAATTAATTTTTTTTTTTTGGTCTAAATCCAGATTTGTCCAGCACTTTCAGCAGCCTACCACATCATTACTATAATACAACCTTTACAAAAACCACCTCACTGGTAGAAAAAAAGGAAAAGGAAGGAAAAAAGTTCTGTTTCAGAAATTTCACTACAGTCACAATTAAACTTCATAAGTCAACAGTCAAAATCTGAACCTTAAAATTTACTTCTATTCCTACAGGTAACACACACACACACACACAAAAGGCTTAAAGTAACGTCATATTTAAGTTTATTTTTACATTTCTATTTAAAAACTAAAGCAATACAAACCCAAAGTTTCTAGGACAGAATAGGCAGCTGTGTACAGTATACAGAGAATTGGCTCCTTTTTAGGTTGTGTGCATGGTTTTGAGTGTATAGGTTTGTTCCTATAGCAAACATCAGAATACCTTTCTAGCCGTATTACTCGTCTGCTATTTCCGTTAGGGTTTTACCTAATGTATCCTGGTTCTTTTTTGCCTTCTACAACATCTTTGTCAACTTCCACGCATACAATGTCAGAATTGGGCACTTCAAACATGGGCTCCAGTAACAGCTTTTCCTACAAGAAAATAGAGGGAAAAAAAATATTTCTGGGTGCCCCCTCTTCTGCGTAGCAATACAGTTAGCAAGTCATTTTCAGAGCAGGGAGTTTTCTTGGAAAAACTCAATGCCCACAGTTTTAGAAAGTTCTACTGTATCGACATAAGACCCACAAGTAAGTGAGGTTTTGACTGAAAATTGTCAGTTAGGTCCATACACTTCATTTACTAAATAAAAGACTTCATTTACTCACCATTATAGATCGAAGACCTCTTGCACCAGTTTTTCTGTCCAGGGCCAGTCTGGCTATAGCCTTCAATGCATCTTCGGTGACATTTAATTCACACTACATAGAGAAAAATGGTAAGTTTAGTGAATTATTTCATTTATAACTCAACAGCATTGAATGCAACAGTGCCTTACTGAAAATAACAAACTGCAGGGATTTACTTGTTACAGACCACAACCTTTAAGATACACACACAAAGCTTCAGCTACGCTTAATTTTTGACTAACGTTACCGGTATTGACTATGTCTCTTTACCTACAACTACTCCAAGTACCTCTGCAGTACCCCAAGCAGCTCTTGATGCCTATTAGGCAAGGTCACAGATGTTCATTTGACACCAAGAGCAGCTCAACTCCTTCCAGGTTACTTATCCCACAAGGACAGTTGTCCAACCTAAACCAGTCAGGTTTTAACGAGTTCGCTTACTTTTTTTATTCAGGGTGGAGGGGCACATGAAATTATTTCAACTGGGATTTTAGATCACTTCAGCACTGTATTTATAAACAAGGACGTTGAGGAGTCATCAAATAAAAAAATCAAACCTTATCCATGCTGAATAGTGCCTGGTATTGAGGAACCACTGCATTTCGTGGCTCGGTAAGAATCCGGACGAGGGTTTTCTCATCCAGGCTGTGCAGAGGAACCACAACGGGCAAACGTCCCACAAACTCTGGGATCATGCCAAACTCGATGAGGTCTCTGGCCTCCACGTGACGCAGCAAACGATCCTTCTCTTCAATATCTTCATGTGGGTCAGACTCTCCACTTATATTAGCAAGATCTGCTGCTGCTGCAGCCCGTCTGCCTTTTCCCATATTAGCTGGCGTCCCAAATCCTAAATACTGCAAAACAAACGTGTTGTACTTACACAACTGTAATAGGTAAATTTTCTAGATGTAACTAAATCACGTTCCATGTGCATTAAAAAAAAATCTGGAGTGACTGATCATTACATATTAATTCAAGCTCCAGAAATTACTTATAGTATTTTATACCCCTTACACACAATCAATTTCTTAGACTATTTAATTCCCCCAGTAAAGTATCAATACCTCAGACTAAAAGCAAGTATTTCTTAAAATAAAGAAGGGTTAGTAACGTGTCCTGGTAAGTTTACAGGTATTGGTGACACTAAAAAGGGCTCTTCAGAAGCGAAGCAAATGCATGCAAGTATGTTTACATGAAAAGCTACACAAATTATCATAAATGGTAATTTAGATTTCAGCCACTCCTCTGTCATTAGAAAGAGGGTGCACATTTTGTCAGAATGCTGCATCCAGAAGAACTCTGTCCCCAGACATTAATATACTCAACAGTGAACTGCATAACTGGGTATTTTAAGATGATACCTATTATGATGATACCTTTTAGCACCATTTGCTCAAACAACCTGAGTATGAACAGTAAACCTTTGGATATCAGTAGAAAAAAAAAAGCCTTTTCTCAGTTTAATACTTGGTACACTGCAACTTCTTTCAACCTTTTTTCCCTCCTCCTATTTTTTTTTTCCTATTTTCATATGCTAAAAATTTCTCCATGGAAGAGAAACTCTGGGAAGCTACTTAAGCCCACTAAC